GGGAGACACAAGAGGGAGGGGATATGGGGATATATGTATAGCTGATTTACTCTGTTGTACAGCAGAAAGTAACACAACATTGTAAAGCAATTATACTCCAATAAAGATATCAAATAAGGAAGGAAGGAAGGGAGGGTGGAAGGAAGGAAGGATCCCAGGAGAGGTTGCACCACAGGCCCTGTCTCAGGCCTGCCAGGAAAACAGTCAAATCATGTCCCTAAAGAGGGGCAAAATGAGAAAGATTGGTGAGCAACAGCCTTGGTGACAATGGTATCATAGTTTTACTAACAGTTTATGATTTGAAACTTGTAATGTTTAGACTGTGTCCCTATGGACTGAATGTTTCTTTCCCCCCCAAAAAATCCATATGTTAAAGCCCTAACCCCACAATGGTATTTGGAGGTGAAACCACTGGAAAGTAATTACACGTAGATGAGGTCATGAGGGTGGGGCCCTCACAATGAGATTAGTACCCTTATAAGATGAGGAAGAGACACCAGAGCTCTCTCTACACCACATGAGGATGCAGAGAGAAGATGGCCATCGGTAAGCCAGGAAAAGAGCTCTCACCAAAACCCGACCATGCTGGCACCCCGATCCTGGAATTCCCAGCCTCCAGATATGTGAGAAATAATACTGGTTGTTTCAGCCACCCAGTCTGTGGTACTTTACAGCAGCCCAAGGGGAGTAAGACACTCACACAACTTTTTAACCCTTGAAAAAATAATGTGAAAGTCACTCCTATACTTGATTATGGGAACACACAGTTTTCCAAGCCCTGGTTATGAACAACACTAACAATAATATGGCCAGTAACGACTGTCTCAGGCGCCCAGCTCCGGGGTGAGCTTCACTCGCATTATTTGACTCACTTGTCACAACCATCCTAAGAGGCTGCCACTATTACCACCTACTTTTTACAGGAAGGACTTGAAGCTGAGAGAGACATGGATTCACTTGGCCAAGGTCACAGGGCAGTACATGGAGCAGCTGGGATTGAAACCTTAGAGGACTTTTAATTTAGCTACAGTAGTTAAGTATCAATGTGTGTGCATCCACAGAACCTCCAAGGTAGATGTCGATAATTGGTGGCCAACTGCAGAGGCCATGTGGGCAGATTTTTAACAGAAAGAAGTGCAGTAACTACTCATAAGGCCCTCCTGGTGCTGCTGGCTGTGGTGTGTAGGTACTGTGGGGAGAACACAGTCAGTCCTTCTCCTTCCTCCTCACTCCAGAAGCGAGGAACACTCCTTCCCTCTGCCCCCAGCATACTTGCGAGAAAGGCTTCACTGTGGCTAACTCCTGACCTAGGCAGGAAAGAATCAGGCACTACTGATTTCAATTTATAAGTCTTCAATAATTGAGGGTGCAAGAATGAATTTAAAGAAAACCCGCTAGGTCTAATCCAACTGGCTTTCCCAGAAATAGAAGTGTATTTGTGGAATCTGTTTCAGTAATATCTCATTAATTTTTCAATGTTCCCAGTATACTGGGCACAGACTGCAAACTGGGGCATACGCTTGTGCAAGTTTTCTTCATCGAGTGAGCTGTTTCTCACACTGTGTCAAGTTATAAATTTGGAGCTGTAAGGCACTGCAATATTAGGATTGCTTTGTTTTCTTGCAGAGCTCATTAACCACTGGCAATTAGCACCGTATCACTGCAAAAAGCGGCATCATTTGGCAAGTTCTATATCCACTACTATGAATGTGATGATACA